AAGTTTCCAGAAATGGAATTACGTTGTCGGACTGGTCGATGGGATCTCATTGCCGTAACCGAAACCTGGTTGACGACTGACATTTTGAACTCCGAGCTGCGATTACCGGGCATGGAGCTATTGAGGCGTGATCGTCCAACGCGAGGTGCGGGTGTGTTGCTCTATTATCATAACAGCTTGCAAGCTAACACAACATGATATCGGGCTCATCGGTGTAGTTTATCACCCTCGTTCGTCAGCAGATTCATCAAATGAAACTTTGTTGCAAACAATGTCTTACTACTTGTCGTTGAATTTCACCCACGTTCTTGTTATGGGTGAGTTCAACTGTCCATAGCTGAGCAACGTGACTACATCGTGTACGCCATTTGAACGACAGTTGAAACAGTTCATCCAGTCACATCTGCTGTACAATCATGTAAAGGAACCCACCAGGTTTGTAACCGACCAAATTTCAACTTTGGATCTAGTACTGACAAATGAAGAATGGATGGTCGAATCACTTGCAATCGTAACTCCGTTGGGGAACAGTGATCACGCTGTATTATTGTTCGAATACGTTTTCTATGCATCAGTAACAACAGCTTCTTCGGATCGCTTTCACACCACAACTGACTATGCAAGAATAAACAACCTGGCTCATGGAATCCAGTGGATCTCCCCTGATGTAAGCTGCAACCCCCTGGAATCCTGGAGAAAATTTACTAACAGCGTCACAACATTGGTGGCTGCTGTTACAACCGTCAAGCGTCTATGCCAACCGACTGTCCGAAAATCAGCAACTTGCAGTCGAACTAGGAAATGGAGAATGCAAGTGGAATTTCACTGGAGGGAGTTCAAACGCTGTCCATGCCCCGGCACTTGGGAAGCTTTCAGGCTCATTGGAAATCACTGTACAACTTTGGGAAGACAAGCACAATTATCACGATATGCTGGCGAGAATGTTTATTGCAAACCTTAAGCTACTATATAATCATGTAAACGATTCCCGGAAAGTTAACCACGGCGTTCCGATACTAAACTGAGCAGGACGTGTTTCAGTGACAATCAAGGAGGCTGCAGAAATGCTTAGACTACAATACTCTCAAGTGGTTAATGCGCCTAGTAACACTGGGTCCGCACTTCTCCGTTTGGTGGAACGCATCCCTTACCCACTACTGACAAACATTATCTTGTCTTCCGAAAGGATAAAGGCAAAGCTCCAGGCTTTGAAGAAGAGCTCATCACTGGGTTAAGATAACATTCATTCACAAGCCCTTATCACTCTGGCAAGTCACATAGCCGATCCTCTAAGTGGGCTATACCAAAAACTGTTTGAAGATACCTTGCTTCCTCAGGTGTGGAAAAACGGCGTCATTTCACCAATTTGCAAAGGTGGATGCCGTAGTGACCCAGCCAACTACCGACCCGTCACTCTCCTTTCAGTGTTGTCCAAAGTAATGGAATCTAATTTACAGATTGGTTAATGAATCGTCTGGAGAAAACATTTTGACTCGGGACGATTGGACTCATACAAACGAGTAGATGTTATTCACCTGGACTTCTCTAAAGCATTTGATCGAGTAAATCATCAAAAACTGATACGGAAGTTGTATAATTATGGAATCCATGGACTCGCACTTGGCTGGATCGAGGAGCCCTTCGCCTACGTACCATGTCAGTTCGTATTTCCGAATCCCTTTCTGGTCCAATAGATGTCAACCGTGGGGTTCCACAAGGATCTGTACTAGGCCCACGTCTTTTCCTTGCCTTTATAAATGATCTTCCAGACGTCCTCGGACCACAAACTCTGCTGTTTGTGGACGATGCCAAAATATGGAGGACAATAACAAAACCAGAAGATACATTTAATCTCCAGAAAGCCCTTGACGAAGCCCACAGCTGGTCTGTCTCCAATGATATGGATTCAACGATACAAAATGTAAAGTTTCATCACTACGTCACAATGGTAGTTATTTCTACACTCGCGGACACGAAACTCTGCCTCATGCTAAATCCAAGAAGGATTTGGGAGAAGTCATTCGCGCAGACTTGAGTTGCTCTACAAACTGTTCCACGGCATCATCCATGGCGGTAAAACAGGTTGGACTGCTCAAACGTGTTTTTGGATCGTTTGAGCTGGCTTTGTTTCCACGTCTGTTGGCCACATATATCCGTCCATACACCGAGTACTCGATTCAGGCCTGGAACACATGGCTGCGGCGAGATCGGAAGGCACTTAAACATCCACAGAGAATGGCTACCAAGATGGTCAAAGGTCTACATTCCAAGACTTATGGCGAAAGATTACAGCTACTGGGACTATACTCGTCTCAATATCGTCAAATCAGAGGCGATATGATCTTACTGTATCGGATTTTCTAACATCCATGTAGATCTCTTTTGGTTCTATCAACCAATGTTCATCTCAGAGGG